TGTAGTTGGTCCAAAGGTTGTGGGTTATCGTGAAACTGATTAAATCCTTTGCTCTAACCGTGGAAAGATGACTTTGATGATCAGTTTTTGATTCTTTTTTTTTTTTTTTTTTTTTTTTTCTCCGGTACCGGGAACCAAACTCACGACCTTGCGCTTGCCAGGCAGGCGCTTTGCCGCTGAGCTAAATCCCCAGCCCCACAGAAGAGTAATATTAAAAGAAACTCTGAAGATGGAAAATCAAACACCTGTAAAAAGTGAGGGCGAGCGAGCATCACAGTAAATAAAGGTAAATAGCATCTACATAAACCATATTCTCTGTAGTGTTAAATTCCTATATAATCAACATGTTTGAAAAGATAACGCAAAAGATGAGAATAATGTATCATAATAGTTAGAGCACTTTAAGGTTTTAGTACAATAAAATTAGTAAAAATGTCAATTTATATTAGAATGTAATAAAATATGTTTATTCTCTAGTAAAACACAAGATTAAAAGAAAATATATTCACATCGTGAGGAAAAATATAATGTAAAATATTTGATTAATTCAAATGGGTAGTAAACTCAAGGAAATGGAACATAGAAATATTAAGATAAAAATAGAACAAGTAAAAGAATAGGTTTAAAATAAATTAGTATTATAAATAGGGTACTTATTTCAGTGAAAATACAGAAATTTTAAACATAGAAAAAATACGGTTCCCTAAGTACATTTTATTGAAAGAGACATAACTCAAATATTATGTTACAGGATATTTGAAAGTCAGAGGATGAAAAAATTATACCTGAAAAATATTAGATAAAGGTGAATGAGAGGAATCCTATTAATTAAACATGGTAGTCAGGTGAATTGGTACACTTCCGTAATTCCAGCACTTGAGACGCTGAGGCAGGAGGATCGCCATGAGTTTCAGGCCAGCATGGACTATATAGTGAATTCAAAGCCAGACTGGACTACAAAGAGAAACCCTACCTAAAAAATAGACATAGTAGATTTAAAAACTACTAGAAGTAAAGCAGGAAATATAAGCATAAAGGGATCAATACATCTGAAAAGCTTATACTTTTACTTGAAGTAATCTAAATAACATAGTAATAATATTAAATAAAGATACTTACCAAATCAAAACAAAATGAAATGAAGCATGTGTCTTAATTGTGGGAATGAGAAGACAAAAATAAACAAAGATACAAAAGATAAACAGTGTATTTTAGTAAGCTTGACCAAAACATGAAAATAGAGGGACAAATTCAACTTTTGAATATATAATTTTCAAGTTCCCCTGGTAATTATACAAATGATCATAAACTAAGCTTGATGTATGCAGGTAAATAATTTGATGGACTTCAATAACATATAACATATTCTTTCATCTTGTGTAATTAACTGTAAAACACAACTCCAAAACTCCAAAACAAAATATAATGGTCAAAGTGCAAATATTTTTAAAGTAAGATATTAACTTAAAGTTAGGAGGATCATAGACAAAATCACATGGAAGTTATATAAATTTTAAAATAAACAGTACTAAAGATATAGTATGTTAAAATTTGTAAGTTAGAAAGAAAGCAATGCTTAGAGGAAAATAAAAACTTTTAGGAGAATATGTTAGAAGAATATGAGATATTGTACATGTGGGGCAGGATTAACTTTAGTAAATAGTGTGGTTTATATTTCGTATAGATAAAAATGAGTTCCCTCTGCATTATATGACATAAAAATCATTTCAACATGTATTATAAAAATAAGCTAACAAAGCTATAGAAAATTATTTTATGAATATCATATAAAAATATCTATATATATGGATAATTCCACAATGCATAAAAATTTGTATCTATTCAGTATGTGAAATAGAGACAACCAATAAAAAGTCAGAAAAGGACAAGACTAGGAACACCATAAACAGTAATTCCTGAATGGACTCTGAAAGTAATGAATGGTGTTTTAATAGTCGTCAGAGAAATGCACAGTGATCACACAGTGAGGGAACTGAAATCCCATGGGAGAGTTAGAGTGACTAAGTTTACAGTTGTGAATCATTATTTGTAATAAGAACAAATGAAAGCTCACATTACTCTGGTAGTTGCTATAAACTGTCATGCTCTGTTAGGAACCATTGTATGAACATACTTCTGTGACCTAGAGATTGCAAACAGAGCAACATGTGAATAAAGTAATGTGTTAAACAAGCAGAGTATTTATAGCAATGATAGTCACAATAATCCAATAGTAGAAGTCACCTTTCTTTCTTTCTTTGAGACACGGTCTCTATGCAGTTTAGGCTGGCCTTGAGCTCACTATGTAGCCCAGGCTGGCCTCGAACTCCTGCCTCAGTCTCTTGAGTGCTAGGATTACAGGCATGCACCACTATACCTGTGGCTCTATTTTTATTTTGAAACATAGTCTCGTGAATTTGCCAATTTGCCCAGTCTGAGCTTGAATTTTCAGTCCTCCTGCATCAGCCTCTTAATGTGCTGAGATTACAGGTGTATACCACCATGCAGGGTTTCTTTCTTTTAAATGGTATATTTACAACATTTTTGTTTATAATAATTATCAATACTTGAGAACATAAACACATCCTTTTATTATTTATTTTATATATTTTTTTCTGTACCTATTTTTTGTTTCTGTTTCTTCAAATAATTCTTTTCCACATTCACACCATTCCTGTGTTAACATCATTATGTAATTGAGACTATAAGACATGACTTTGTACATCAGGCAAATGGATGTCCCATACTTATTGAAGCTGTTTACAATTATTGAATATATATTTAAAACAGCCAAAATGCTATCTGGAAAATTGTACTTGTTTCTGAGAATAAAGAAGTCTCTGTATGGCAATGTCTATATTTCAATTTTCTGTGAAATACTGAAATATAACTAAGGTCAAAAAATGAATCAATCTCTTTTAATGAAATAGATGAATTTCACCAAAATATCATCAAAAAGAACTGTTCCTGCTAGTTGGAAATGTAGGCTCAATAGGGATAAAATTGTAGTGAATAAAAATAAAGTCATAGAGAAGCAAAGCAATAAATGCTTTAATTAAAATCTGTAGTGTCAGGAATAAGCCAAGAACAAATACACATAATAGTATCATAGAAAAAGGGGTTCCAGTTGTATAGAGTATTGTTAATAATTAAGGTAATTATTAGCTATTATTTTAGCTTGGGAACTAAGGTTTAGAATGAAGAAGGTGTTAGCAGCGCAGTGCCCAGAGGTTTATTAGAATGCACATTTTCTTGGTACTGGCAATCGAACTCACAGCCTTGCACTTGCCGGGCAGGCACTGTGCCACTGAGCTAAATCCCCAGCCCCTAAGAAGGCACATTTTCTTCTGGTTCTTGGGCAAATGGTGGGAAGCAAGTAAAGCAGTGTCTTCAGTCATAATTACTCAAACAAAATGGAATATAACAACCATACCTGAGTTCCTACCATCTTGTTCAGTGAAGCTCTGTATTGTTTCTAATGATTTTTAAAATTAATTTTTATTCTCTTTAATTGTTTGATCAGTCTTGCATTCTTATACCTGGTAATCTGAGCAACTTCATGGAAGATAGCAATATGTAATATAACAACCATTGTTAATTCCTGCCATTGTTTTGAAATCCTGTATCATTTTTATTGTTTTATTGTTGTTTCGACTGTTTGTTTTTTCTCTTTAAAATAAAAAAATAAAAAAGGGTGAACGTAAAAGAAGCAATTCTGGCAATGAGTGACCTTGATTTATGAAATTTTCATTTTCTGCCCATGAATGTTGAATTAAGCTTTATATGAATTAAAATTAAGCATAACTTGAGAAACAAATTAAAATGCCACACGATGTTTCACCCACAGAGAACTATTGCACATTTCACCTTCTGCAGCTGTCTCCCCATGTGTCCTGGCAGCTAAGATTGTATTGGCCCCTATATGAAGAGAGATCAAGTGAAGAACCCAGGAAACAGAGTCACAGCTAGCAAAGCCCAGGAAGGATGCAATGAACCTGGTTGATCTTTGAGTCACTCAGTAGAATCCACAGGACCAGAATCTTTCAAAACAGGATGGTAGCATCTGTGTCCATCCACACCCTAGTTAGCAGTCCAGGATGTCATAGCGATTGTGTATAATCCCATGGTGTAGGGAGTAGATGAGTCAGCTGTGGAACAGAAAAACTCTGCCCCAGGCTGATTCTAATCTGCACAAGACCATCATTTTATCCTTAACGGTGAATTAAAAAAAAACAAGGGAAGAAATGACCACATTCCACCCTAACTTTAATCAGAAAAAGTAGTCTTCAAATAAGATTACTTTGCTAAAATGTCTGGAACTTTAGATTATGGGAGAGATTACCAGTTTTACATCGTATACTCGTTACCTGTATTTTTGTTCCATTACTCACAAAACTTTTGTGTTTTATGACTTTTCCATTGTCATTAACTTAGTGTTATGGTTTGTGTCTAGATGTTCCCCCAAAACCTCATATAGTCATGGGGCAGTCTTCTAGAGCTTTTGATTGATTCATGGTCCATTGCTGGGATAAAGGGTGTGAGTGCTGTGACTGCCCTGGGGCGGGCAGCCTGCATACTCTATAAGGGAGAGAAGGGGCCTTGTTCTTGCTGCTCCTCCTTTTTTGCTTTTATTGCTCTTTCCGTTTTTCTGCCACCATGAACTGTTATCCTCTGTTATGTTCCACTTTACCTCGGAGTCAGTGGAGTATGGACTGAAACCTCCACAGATTGTGAGCTAAATAAACCTTTCCTTCTTTAATTTTGGGTGTCAAGTATTTTGTCTCAGCAACAAAAGAGAAAAGTTACCAAGACACTTAGTATAGTTTATTTCAATATATCTTTCTCCTTCTTCTTTCCTGATAAGCTTAGGACCTTAATGCTGGAAATTTTTATAGGCCTCTATGTGTTATGCTTAGCCTGAGTTTCTTTTTCCGTGTACTTAAACGCAGAAAATGTAAGATTAATATTCTTTTTGTCAGTTTTAAGGGGTATGTCCTTGCTTCTTGTCTGGATCACTTTTCTTCTACCTAAACAATTGAGTTTTCTTACAATTCACTTTCAATTGAGTATATTGTCTCACTATTTAATATTTGTGAGCATTTATTGTTTATTTTAATTTTTATTTATATATTTTACTGACATTTTTATTTTTTTATCCAGACAATTTTGATTGTTTTTATCCAGACAATTTGACTGTTGTATCTTAATTGATAATTGTGATACATTCAATATATTGAATATGATACATTCAATTGATAGTTTGTGATACAAATTGATAGTTGTGAT